GTAAAGGAATGTAGAGATTAGGGTGAAAAGATTTAGAATTAGAAGACTGATGTCAGCTATAAAAGGCAACCTTCAAAAGCATCAGCCACCGCGTTGAAGTTTTTCACTAGCTCAGTGTGGAGCAGCTCTCTAGCCCACATAGGGAATGTAAGCACATTAACTAAAATAGTAACAAAAGTATACAGTAACTCCGAAATTTTCCCATAGTAATGAAGCAAGTATTAGTTGCTCACAGCTCACATAAGGGATGCCTAAAATTGAACAGAAAGGACTAAAAGAGTGCACTGCTAAGTAGTTGGGTACCTCTTTGAATTCCCTTCAACACTTTGTGATCCTTCTTATAATTCCGAACAGGTAAAGAGACGAGTTTAGTAGCACCAGAACCTGATTATGTTGAGTATTTGAATACCTGATTATGTGAAATATCCTCCAACCACTCCCCCTCCATTATTTCACATACACTGCACCAGCCATATATACGAACAACATGAACTTGTTTGAGTTGTAATTCGATGCCCTGTATTGAAAAAACTATTGTGTCATCTCTCCATTTGCAAATGATGAAATTCACATACATGCCCGATTATGTGAAATTCTAGACTGCGCAATTTGAATTTTATAAAGAGATTAGGGTTGAGAGAATAGGGTTGTTATGCTATATCACATACATATCTCAAGATCGTGCCAAGGGTGTGCAACAACTGACCTTTGGGACAAGGATGACAAAATTCTCTCATTAATAGGTGGAGTACGTGATGGATAGTGATACTCAGGTTCAACCTTTGCAGTTTGAATGTTTTCTCTGTAGGTGGAGCCAGAACCGCAAGCTGGAAATCACGAAAGTACATTTATATTCCCTCCGTCCCAAATTGTATGTACATAATTCCTTTTTCGTCTGTCCCAAATTGATTGTCACTTTCCATATTTGTATATGTATTAATTATTTCAATTTACTCTTTTTCTTATATTACCCTTGTTTTATACTCAGAATAATTATTCATATCTAAGTAATTACAGACTAAATATTCAATAAGTAGGACCCATTAATGATTCAAAATATGCTAATTCAATTTTGAAAAGTTTACAACGATTTAATTGGGAATCATTCAAGCAATGTTGCTTGTATCAATCAATGCTTCCATTTAGAGTGGGACAACATTCAGTTTACTAAAGGCTTGAATCAAGCTTTGTTTCCATTTTAAAAAGATGTTTTGCTTCAATCAAGCTATGTTTCTATTTTAATTTTCATGTCTCTGTTATTTTCCATTTCCGTTCCCATATTCTCTGTTTGAATCAATATGTTGTTAAAAAAAAGAACAAAAATAGAAAGCAAAAATTCTTCAATTTTTAAAGTCTAAACAGATCTTAACCAAAGAGTAAATAAAGGTAAATTTGGGAATATAGGTAGGAGATAAATCAATAAAGAGTGATTCTTCGCTTACAGAGGAAATCAACCGAGAACCCCCACACCCTGATGTG